TATTCATCACAAACTTTAACTGAATAGAAAAATATTACAAAAAGAAATAAGTAAAGAACTAAATGTTGTACTTGAGAAGTCCCAAACATATCGTTTTCGTCCACCGCCAAAAAATGGAACATTACCAGTTGATTTTTTTAAACCATAGGAAAGCGTTTTTTCTAATGCATTAACAAAACCATCTTCACCACATAAAATTGGTGTTATTAATCCTCTCTAAATAATTTTTAGTAGAAATTTTTTGAAAATAAAAAGCTTTATTTAAATTATTTTTTTTTCAGGTTCATCAAAACATTTAACTAATTGATTAATTGATCGACCTAACAATTCATAAATATCATCAGCTTGTTGTTTTGATTGATTTTCTAAATCATAAACAGAATCAAATTATACATGATCGATCAGAAGAGGAAAAAAAATTATTGTTAGATCAATAGCAGTGGTAGTGCTGGGATGTCAAAGAAAAAAAAGTACAAAAAAAAGAAAAAAATCATTATTTCATGCAAATCTTACGACGATAAAAATTTTCCGTGAGCCAACTGAAGACAGAATCTGTAGGGGACGTTCATATGACATTAATAATGTCATGAATTAAAATAGAATTACTGAGAAAATATCTTACTTTGATCATTGACACGTCGTAAACTAGGTGATCGTGATCGTACAGAAGCTGATAAATTTACTTGAGATCCACCACTTATGAAACTTGTTGTCATTAATTGAGATGGTGAACCAGAATCGAATAAACCATTAGTATTATTATCATTCATTTCACATGAATATATCGAATCAATAAAAAGAAGTCGCTCTAAACTATCATCATCAATACCTTTACCTAACCATTGTCCACATGGAAATCTATTTTTTCAAATGAAAATTAAAAAAACAATAGTTAGAAACGATTAAAAGTAACAAACCGATAAACATTGTTTGTTAATTGATTTCGAACAAGAACATGATCAATATTCCATCGAGGCATTAAACCAGTATTATCATGACCTATTCGAAGTGTTGTTAATTGACTCAAATTTTTGTGCTAAACAAAACAAAAAAATAAAAATCATCATGAGCTTTTGTTTTTCATTCTATTTCATATAAAATCCAGATTTTACTTTGAATTTAATTTCAAGTGTTTTTTTTTGATGGTAATGGTATAACTTTTGTTGATCCCAAAATACCAGCTAATGCAATATATGGATTAGCAGTTGTTGTACTAGAAATTCTTGTTGCTCG